AAAATATTTGATCCCTGTCAGAGACTATGGTGGAAGGAAACCCGTGTAGCTTTATCACTTCTTTCACAAAAGTTTGAGCTACCTCTACTGCTGTGAATGGATGACTGAGTGCCATAAAATGGGCATATTTAGTAAGCCTATCCACAACCACCATGATGGTATCTTTACCAAACCTGCATTGGGATAGGCAGTGGCTGCAATAATCCTGCAGGGGAGAGGGTCTCATGTTTATTTCTTTGACAAATTTCACACTGCATCACAAATTCTTTGATATCTTTCTGCATTCCCTCCCAATATAACACATCAACCACCCTTTTGAAGGTTCTGAAATAACCTGAATGTCCCCCGGTTGGTGAACTGTGGAGTTCATTCATGATAGCTGGAATCCTTGAAAACTGTTTAGGTAGAACCAGTTTTCCCTTGTATAATTTGCCGCCTCTCATGGTGTACCCAACAGTTGTATTGGGATCAACTAGCAACTTCTGCATTATTGCTTGTAAGCTAGCATCTTTCTGAACTTCTTTATCCCAAGCCTCCATTCATCAAATTGCAATACTGTCATTGTTGAAAACAGGGGTTTCCTGGAAAGTGCATCTGCAACAGAGTTTTCTTTCGCAGGCGTATATTTAATCTCAAAGCCATATCCAATTAATTTAGAAACCCATTTAAATTGTTCCTCTGTCAGTAATCTTTGTTCAGTAAGGAATTTAAGACTTTTCTGATTAGTAACAATGGTAAAGCAATTGCCCATTAAGTAGTGCCGCCATTTCTGCACCACTGCCATCAATTCCCTTTCATAAACTGACTTATTCTGCCCTCTCTCTGATAGTGCTTGACTCCAAAAGGCTAAAGGTTTACCTTCTTGTAACAGGACAGCTCCTAAACCTTTACTCGAAACATCGGTCTCCACAACAAAGGGTTTCCCAAAATCAGGGACTTCCAGAATAGGTAGCTGGGTTATTGCTGTCTTCAACTCCTCAAAAGCCATTTGTGCTTCTTTGCTCCACTTGAACCCATCCTTCTTCAATAGCTGAGTCAAAGGTTGAGCGATTTTTCCATAACCACGCACAGATCAGCAGTAATAACCCATTAAACCCAAAAATCCCCGTAACCTTTTGAGATCTTTAGGAATGGGCCAAAGCCACATTGCTTCCACTTTTTTCGAATTTGCCGAGACACCTTTCTCTGAAATAATATGGCCAAGATATTCTAAACTTGGCTGCCCAAATGTACATTTCTTCTTGTTCACCTTTAATTTGTGTTCTTGTAACACCCTCAATACCTCTTTCAAATGGGACAAGTGCAGCTCAACAGTGGGGCTGTATACTAATATATCATCGAAAATAACCAACACATACTTTCGAAGGAAGGGTTGAAGTACCTCATTTGTGAGAGCTTGAAAAGTGGATGGTGCATTTGTTAAACCGAACGGCCTCACTAAGAATTCGTAATGGCCTTCGTGTGTTCGGAAAGCGGTCTTCTTTACATCTTTTTTCATTAGAATCTGATGATAACCAGATTTCAAATCTAGTTTGGAAAATAATGTAGCTCTTCCAATTCATCAAATAATTCTTCTATAACAGGGATTGGAAATTTATTGGGGATTTTGACCTTATTCAGAGCCCTATAATCTACACAAAATCTCCATCCTCCATCTTCTTTTTTTCACTAGAATAATAGGGCTAGAATATGGGCTAATGTTAGGCCTTATAATCCCTGCTTTCAACATCTCCTGTACCAGCTTCTCTATCTCATTTTTTTTATAATGAGGGTATCGGTATGGCCTAATGTTTGGTATAGATGCTTCTTCCTTCAAATATATAGCATGACCATGGTTTCTGCTAGGAGGTAAGCCCTCTGGATCCTGAAATAACTCATCATAGTGCTGCAACACTTCCTCAATGAATGAAGGGATTGCCACTGTTTCTGCTGAAGGTTTAGTTTCTACTAATTTCACCAAATACCCTTCTCCTCTTCCTTTTAATTCTTGCATCATCATCTTCATTGAAGTTTTGGTTCTGGACAAGGTTGGATCTCCTACTAGAATCTGTTACTGCTGTCCCCTCTCAATGGTCAAAGTTAACTTGCCAAAATCAGCTCGAACTTCTCTTAGACTAGCCAACAATTCCAGCCCCAAAACTAAATCTGCTCCTCCTAGTTCAAACAGGAAGAAATCTTGATTAATTTTTAATCCTTGCAACTCCAATATAAACCCTTTACACACCCCTTGACATTTCACTTTGTGTCCATCCCCACCACGTAGGGAAGAGTCTCTTCTTTGACTAGATTGCATCTTTTCATTAACTCAGGGAATATGAAGTTGAGGCAAGCTCCACAATCTATCAAGATTATCACCTTCTCCTCTCCCATACCTTCCAAGAATTTCTAGCTGTCAGCCCAGCCATAGTTAAAATAGACATCTGCAATGTTTTCTCAGCCCTTTTTTCTTCCTCTCCTTCCCATTCTACCCCCATCACTGTCTCTGTCCCCCCTGATTCCTCATCCTCTATCAGCAACATATCCCATGCATCAATTTCCCCCAAGATCGTCATTCTGCACCAGGATTGGTGCTTTGATACCAATTGATAGAACCCAATGTTTAAACTGAATATGAAAGACTGTTCTTTATTGCTGAACCTAATCCCCAATGCTACACCAATGTTGTACAGATTAGGAATAGGAAGAATGGTTACAAAATCCAATAACCTGAGGTGATTCGAGAGACCTCACTCTCCAGACCGGCCTATTCTATTCCAACCGGAAAAACTGAAAACTACCAATTTGTGCTCTTATTTATTTACTAACAGAGCCAGCTGTCCATTATTAACAGAATTGGTTATTTACACTTTTATTTTTCCGACTAGTCTTCTTTCTCCTAGTATATACATGTTTGAATCTATCGTGTTCTTACCAGTTGAGTAAAGAACATTAGGTTTGGGTTGGGAAAAAAAGGAGAAGAGAGAATATCTAAAAATACAAGAAAATATAATTGATGTATAAAATACAATACAATAACTTAACCTAAAACTCCTATTTATACTACTAATTAGGTAAAGCACTAGTAGTACTAGTACAAGCCCAAACTCTCAAATAATAAGGCTAACAACTTAATTAGGTAAGGAAACAAATCAAGAAAGATGATATATATATTTTCTAACAAATAGTTACTGCATTGTGATGGTCATAAACTTTCCACTGAAAGAATGGTGAAAAGAGTATACAACATAAAATAAATCAGCAGTAAAAGGCTCTCTCCATAAGCAAACTTGCCTGAGAGAAGGTACAAGAATGTGTACTTCTCTGATTGTTTGAGTGGCTCCATAGTAGTCAATCTTGAATAGCCGGAAGACAATCAAAATAGAGAAGAAAAATAGATCAAAGAGTGGTCATTCACTGGAAAAAGCTCTCAACGCAGATGGTCTTGTCAAGAAACATCTCACTATCATCGGAGAACATCTATATCTTGTTGGAAATAGCTTGGGTTTTTCCAAAGATGAAGAAGACAACAGAAAAATGTCTTTGGTTATCTTAGAAATAAGTTGGGTTTCACCGGAGATGAAGAAGAACAAAACATGGTGAGAAATGGTGACTCACACAAGGAAGTGACATTGGAGATGGAGTACAAAGCAAAAGAACGAGAGATGGAGATGGGATTCCATCCCGACTGGCAAAGACAAAAGAGAAGCACGAAGCATCGCAATGTAAAAGGAGGGCAAAATCCCAAGACTGCCCCCCTTAAAAAGTATTCCAACTTTCAGAAAGGAAGCAAACTTGTCCTTTTGCCCCTGTTTGTTATACCAACCTTTCACAGCCGCAATTTTCACCTTTCATGACCGCAAATCGCAGCACAACAGCCACAACATGACACCCCAAAATCGCAGCAGGGAGCCGCTCCACTACTCCGTGATCGAGCCCGCTATTCCCCATATTGACTACTATTAGCGGATCAGAAGTTGACCTCAAGGTCTCACCCAACAATTAATTCTCTCCCCTCTCATTCTCTCCTATTTATTCTCAACTAACAAACAAACAGAATACAACCATCCAATAACTAACTAATGAGAATATTATTATTCTGTGCTTCCTTTCTAACCCATCTCTTACAGACTCTTGTAATAATGGGCCTGGGTCTCATCCTATCAGAAATGCATGAGGAATTCTATTGCCTGAACTACATGTTTTTGTGTGCTACCAAACCACAAGCCATGAATATACCATTTAAAATTTCTTATATGTTATCAACCTCATCTATTTCCTAAATTGTATTTCTAATAGCAAAATTTTAGCAAGGATCAACCCCCAAACCCCACCTTTGTTTAAACTGGATGAAATCAGAAAGTTTGCCATAACCAATTAGCTGTATATTCAAAGTTTGAACATTGAACTTTTAGTTTGGATAAGTTGCAGGTCTAAGAAACCAATCATTTTCTTCTCCTAGGCTGTGTTGAATACCCACATTAACAAGGTCAAGGGTTGGTCCTTTCACAATTAAGCTATTGCTGTGCTTTCCTATACTAATAATTCTGAATTACCTCTCCAATGAGTTAAGCTAACCATTAAACCGATTCTTTACCTGACTACCTAATTCTATTACCTTTCTAACTACTTTGGCTTATTTCCCTTATATTCATTCCTCCAGGTCCTAACACTGGGAAACTATTTTTCACAAATGTTTTGCTTTCAAGTGCTACACATCATTCTGACAGTGATAGACAACTCTGTATCAATGGCCACTGTATAGACTAAACATAGAACAAGAATTAATCAATGCCCCAACATTAACAACTATTCTTTTCTTTCCTTTTTGTTTGACGTTTAAAGTTTTGCACAGAAATTAAAAAAATAATTGTTAATGAATAAAGAAAAATTGCCATTATATCTCACAGCAAAAGTAAAACAAATCACCCAATAAGAAAAACCTATTAACCTACGAAACAAATTTTGAACTGAAACACACACACAAATAACTTTCTGAAAGAAGAAAAGGGAAAGTGAAATACTGGGCACGAGGAGGAGGAGGAGGTTGCAATGGCAGTGAATCGCATTGGGGAAGTTGGGGTTCTTCCTCTTCCTTGCGTTCTTCTTCAGCGGGTTCCGGAACGTCGTCGTCTGAAGAAGGAGCGTAATCGACCAGCGACATTTCTCGTTCGTGTTTTATTTTCTCAGTCTTCGCCAGCGTCCAAACCCGTTGGTCCTCTGCCGTTGACAACACAGGAGCGAGTATTTTGGGTTCGGTTTATTGGTTATATTTTCTTGGGTTCTTCACCTGTTCTCGCGGATTGCACTTCTAAGCTTTTTTTCGATTTATTAACGACCAACTTTGTATATTAAAAAGATATATGCAAACTTGTAAAAACCAAGTTTTATTAATACACTGAAAAATATACTCGTATATTCCACGAATTTGTATAAATATAGTTATATTTTTTATTAGTTAATTTAATTTAAAAATAATTATAATTTAAATAATAATTATTTTTAATGTGATAGAAAAATAAAAAATATAAAGTAAAAATTTTAATTGTTTTAAATAAATTATATATAAAAATAACTATAACAGTTAAATTTAATTTATATATAATTTTAAACATTCTAAATTTTAATAATAATAATAATTTAATTATAAATTAATAAATATATTTGTGTGTTATACAAATTTATTTAGTTATTTATTAAATTATTTTATTTTAAAATAAATAAAAAATTATAATTTAAATATAAAAATATATAATAATAAAATTTTATTATATTAAATATAATTATATTAAAAAATATGATAAATATATTTTTATATATAATTTTTTTATATTTTTCATCCTTTTTAATAATAAAAATTATTTTTTAGTTGATGTAAACATAAAAAATAATTTTTTTAAAAATAAATTAAAAAATATAAAAATAAAAATACATAAAAAAATATATACCAATGAGTAGAAATATAAAAAATATATATTTTTGATAAACAATTAAATTTAGCATTATACTCAACTATTCAAGTAAGATCTATTTGAATAAAATTTAACTTTTATTTTTTAAAAAATTGAAATGAATATTAACATAAATTTATTTGATGAATTATGTATAAAATTATTAATTTATGATTTTAAAATAACATATTTAAATTTAACTTATAATAAGCAAATATATACTAATAATTAATTATTTTAATTTAAAATATTTTTTTAACTTTTAAATCAGTATTAATTTTAAGAATATGATATCGTAAATAATTATATTAATACAAAAATATATTTATTATACTTTATATTTTACATATAATTTAGTTTATAATTAGAGAATGAATTGTAAGTCTATTACATGATTAAATATTCCAAAAAAATTTAAAAGCATTAAAAATTTAATTTTAATTTCAAAAAAATTTTAATAATCACATAATTAGAATATAAAATATTAATAAATAAAAATATTTTGAAATTTTAATATTAAAAATATTAAAAAAATATTTTTATAATATTTTAAAAATTAATTCATGTAATTGTAAATTTTTCTCATAATTGTAAAAGAAATATTTAAATTATGAAATAAATATTAAAAAGTTGAAGAGTTCTAATTCACTGTTAAAACAAATTATATATATAAAAAGTAAATATAATATTCAAACTTAATATATATTTAAAATACTATAGTATATTTATTTATTTATTTATTATGATATAAAAATATTAAATATACAAATTTAATAATTACAGTAAGATTTTAATTACAAATTTATATATTATATTAATATATTATTTTCATTTTTAACATTATATAATTATTAATGTAAATTTTTTATATATAATTTATTTTAATAAATTTTTCTTAAATACAATTCAAATATAATAATTATGAATCAATTGTAATTTAAATTTTTAAGATATATGAAATATTGTAATTAATTTTAATAATTTTTTATTAAATACAATTTATAGTTAATTTGTTATTTTTTATTTTATTATACATCAACATCCATTTTGATAATATGTGTAATCAGAATTATATGTAATTTTAAATATTCTAAAATTATGAATAAATTTTTATTAAATATAATTCATGATTAATTTGTTGTTTTATTTTTAACATGTCCAATTATTTATAGTGATCATTGTATTACCAACATTCTATGTGACTTTGAGTATTCTAAAGTTTAATAAGCATAAATTTTGTTGTAAATGTATATAATAATAAGTAGGTGTAATTAATTTTACATAAATTGATTTGTATATTTTAATTAAATTTAATTATAAAAAATATTTTATGAGTGCTATAAAGATAATTAAAATTTAATAATATTATATTTTATTAATTATATTTTATTTATTATTAATATGTTTAAAATTTCTTTAAGAAATATATTTATAAGATAAAATTTTATTATTTTTTATAATTATTTTTTAAATATACGATATGTCAACTCTATGATATAATTTTAGATAATATAAATTTGTACTAATATAGATTAATTTAGTTAAAGAAATATTGATGAATTTAATATAATTTAATTGATTAAAAATAAAATTTAATACATATAATTTTACTTAAAAATAATGCACTTTTATGCATATTTAATAAATTAAAATAAAATATATGAATATAATTTAATAAAAAATAAAAAATATCAATATTAATAATATATGTGTTTAATTTAGATAGAAAACTTTTAACGTTGACATAATTATAAAATATAGAAATAGTGTAAAATGATAGAAAGAATTTTTAAAAAGTTTAAAGCTGTGTAATAAAAAAAATTATTTATATTATAATTTATTTGTCTTTTTATTATAAATATAATTTAATAATTTATAAAATAATTATTTAAATCAATACATTTAAATTTAAAAATAAGATACAATTTTATTTTCTATTAACATATCAGTGGAGTTTTTAGAAAAACAAAAAGAAACATATCACTTGAGAATTTTATTTGATTTTTATGAAATTTTTTATGTAATTTAATTAATATTTTTCTCCTTTTTGTAATATTTCACAATGAATTTTATTTTATTTTTAATATTTAATAAATTTAAATTTTTATTAAATATCATTTATAGCAAATTTATTATTGTCTTTTTTAAAAGTGTGTAACTATCCATATAAAATATTTATATAAATCAATTCTTATAGAATTTTTTTAAATATAATTTAAAGATAATAATTATTAATCAATAATAATTTTAATGTACAAGTTATGCAAAATATTATAATTAATTTCAATGAATAATTATTAAATATAATTTATAGTCAATATGTTATTTTCGTTCTTGACATTACCAATATTTGTTTTGACCATCCATATCATTAACCATGTAAATAAATATAAACATTTTAAATCTTAATAATTATAATTTTTGTTATAAATATACATAGTAATAAGTATATGGGAGGTAATATTTTATTTCTAATAATGTAACATTCTTATAACTAATAATATAACTAATTCTAAATATTCTAAATCTTTATAATCATAAAATTTGATATAATTATACAGAGTAATAAGTAGTTGCAGTTACCAATATTATAAGTAACTATAAGTATTCTAAAGTTTGATAATCATAAATTTTGTTATAAATGCATACAGTAATAAATAGTGGCAGGCAATTTTACATATAGATTATTAAATATAATTTATAGTCAATATGTTATTTTCGTTCCTAACATTAAACATTTGTTTTGACCATCCATATTATTAACCATGTAAATAAATCTAAACATTTTAAATATTAATAATTATAATTTTTGTTATGAATATATATGGTAATAAGTAGGTGAAAGGTAATATTTTATTTCTAATAATGTAACATTTGAATCACTAATAATATAACTGATTCTAAATATTCTAAATATTTATAACCATAAAATTTGATATAAATATAGAAAGTATTAAGTAGTTGTCGTTACTAATATTATAACTAACTATAAGTATTCTAAAATTTAATAATTATAAATTTTGTGATAAATACATACAGTAATAAATAGCGGCAGTTGATTTTATATATAAATTATTAAATATAATTTATAGTTAATATGTTATTTTCGTTCCTGACATTACCAATATTTATTTTGACCATTCATATCATTAACCATGTAAATAAATCTAAATATTTTAAATCTTAATAATTATAATTTTTCTTATAAATATATATAGTAAAAAGTATGTGGGAGGTAATATTTTATTTTTAATAATGAAACATTTGTATCACTAATAAATAATTTATTCTAAATCTTTATAATAATAAAATTTGATATAAATATATAGAGTAATAAGTTGTTACAGTTACCAATATTATAACTAACTATAAGTATTTCTAAAGTTTAATAATCATAAATTTTGTTGTAAATGTATACAGTAATAAATTTTGCCAGTCAATTTTACATATTGATATAGATTTTTAATTAATGAATCACATAAACTAATTTATCAATCAATTTGAATTCTTAAGAGTCCAGAACATTATTACATTACAATTGAAAATCTGGTGAAGTGATTCTTAACTATTTTCCACATAGCATTTTTAATACAAAATTCGTATTCTGTTTTATAGCACATTTGTTACTTTCTATTATTCTTATTTCTTATTTTTACATGTTACAAATCTTCTAAATGAATTGTATGACTCAACTAATTGTTAAATTGTGAAGTGGTAATTAAAAGTATAGATTCTTATGGACGATACTTAGGACGATTTTTAAATTTTATTACTTGCTACAATAATTTATTATTGAGTGATTTGTAATATTTTGTACTTGCTAAATGTTAATTGAAGAATTATTTGATATTAGAATAGATTTAGATGAAGTTTGAAATTATTAAAAAAAAAAAAAAAAGTGAACAGTAAAGTTGGCGTAAATAGTAAGTTGGTGTGAACAGTAAATCTGTGTGAATAGTGCCAAATTTTTTTTCAAACTTTTGCCTTGCATGAAATTTTCATATTTTTACACTTCTCAAAGGTTCTAGAGAGATCCAAGGCCATATACCACTATTTTCCCTCATACTAAACCTCTTAAACTTAGATTTCTCACTAGATCTGAGATTCTATATAACAGTCCGGCAACTTATTTGGGACTGATGACTGTCCCCTAAACCAACACGAGACTTTTCAGTGTGCTTTGTCCTCACTTGCACACTTCCCAAGAACTTCCCAGAAGGTCACCCATCCCATAATTGCTCCAAGTTAAGCACGCTTAACTTTGGAGTTCTTAAGTGATAAGCCACCAAAAAGTAAATGCATTTTGTTGGGGACCATACTGGGAGAGAGGCTTGCTCTGATACCATTATTGACG